CTAATGGAGCCTTATGTAAAAACATCGTCTTTTCACTTTGGAGGGGGGCAGAGGTGAAGGTGACGAAAAGAGATGCAAATGATATTATGAGGGAGGGGTGAGGGGGAAAATGCTCAGTGTTTCGACGTCAGCATGGTCAGTGATGCAATTAAAACGTATGACTAGTGTAACGAGCACAACAACAATCAGAGGAAACCCTGCAACGATTTTTGTCTGTTTTATTTTTTGGCTCTAGCCTACGATGTACATTACTTGCAAAACATTTCGGACGTTAAGATTTCGGACGTTCAATTTTCGGACACTTTTTTTAATCAGATTTCGGACACTTTGCCGACACTTAAAGCCTAAAAAACACGCATCAGACTGAAACAACATCTGTGAAAATCATAGTTTTCCTGCACCATCAAGGTTTTACGACTACACTGACGAGAAAATAACACAAATTCTATCAAGCTGTTAAGTATGCCAAATAGTGTCTCAAAAAGAGCTTTGGAGCTTTTTCCAAGTTTTATAACGTACTGCAAATATTTCGGACGGTTTTATTTTCGGACACATTCTTTTGTCCGAAATTAAAACCGTCCGAAATTTGTTGCAAGTAATGTATCTCCAAGAGAAGCATAAATGAGCGCACGGTAACATTGCCCGCATTTTTGTACTGCGTCAAGTGTTAAGTTTCTTTAAAGAATACAAAACTCCATTATGTTCCTTATAAAACCTACAAACAATACAAATCAGAATTTCGGGGAAAGCTAAGAGAGGGAGTGCCTTGTCCCTTTTCTTGTTCACAGCTCTGATTCCTTCCATAATTCCTTCCGATAATCCCTTCCATTGCTGTAAGAAGGGGAGCGATAGCTCTGATTTGATTCTGATAACATAGATGACAGGCTTTCCATATGTTGTATCACCGGTAACTTCTCATCACTACTTAAATACTACTACTTAAATTAAATCTTTCGTATTTACAAGAAGTCGCATATCTTNCGGACGTTAAGATTTCGGACGTTCAATTTTCGGACACTTTTTTTAATCAAATTTCGGACACTTTGCCGACACTTAAAGCCTACAAAACACGCATCAGACTGAAACAACATCTGTGAAAAAATCATAGTTTTCCTGCACCATCAAGGTTTTACGACTACACTGACGAGAAAATAACACAAATTCTATCAAGCTGTTAAGTATGTCAAATAGTGTCTCAACAAGAGCTTTGGAGCTTTTTCAAAGTTTTATAACGTATTGCAAATATTTCAGACGGTTTTATTTTCGAACACATTCTTTTGTCCGAAATTAAAACCGTCCGAAATTTGTTGCAAGTAATGTATCTCCCAGAGAAGCATAAATGAGCGCACGGCAACATTGTCCGCATTTTTGTACTGCGTTAAGTGTTAAGTTTCTTTAAAGAATACAAAACTCCATTATGTTGTTTATAAAACCTACAAACAATACAAATCAGAATTTCGGGAAAAGCTAAGAGAGGGAGTGCCTTGTCTCTTTTCTTGTTCACAGCTCTGATTCCTTCCATAATTCCTTCCGATAATCCCTTCCATTGCTGTAAGAAGGGGAGCGATAGCTCTGATTTGATTCTGATAACATAGATGACAGGCTTTCCATATGTTGTATCACCGGTAACTTCTCATCACTACTTAAATACTACTACTTAAATTAAATCTTTCGTATTTACAAGAAGTCGCATATCTTCTTTACCAACGTGAAACTAAATAACTTCTACTGTTCATATGTATTTGGCCTGTAGCATCACCACTCGCTCACTTCACTTTGAAACGTTACTTTTTGTTTCCTTTGCCGTTTGACAAGTCAGAAAGGGAGACTGGTTTTACTAAATGGCTCTTTGCACCTGGGAACAGATCTACAGAAACCGCTGAGCGCGTTGGAGCTGTCACCAAAGTACCATCTGCCACATTCTCAGTTGATGCTGATAGCAAAGACGAGGAGGAGGACTTGAGCAAGGTCTTGGATGCCGAGGATCCACTGGCACTACTCGTATCTGGTTGGTAGAGATGCAAAGTAAAAAAGATATAACGTTTCGTGTTGTCCTGAACTGAGCATTAAAGTTTAAGGTTATAACAGACGTTGGCAGTTTTTTGATCGTCGTTCCACTGTATTATATAGTAACGGGATTAGGTCGGAAAGGAGTGAATAAGTTCTAATCAGACCCAAACTAAGGTCCAAAACACTGAACAGCGAACGATGAATGACCGGCGATGCCTCCCCCCCCCAAAAAAAAACCCCGCACACACAGCCTCTTAAAGTTAGGAGGTATTGCAGCCTGAAAACAGTCCTACGAAAAAAAAACAACTATGTGCTGGTCGTTGTGCGCGAGGCGAAGATTCGCATTCATTTTCTCTCGCGCGCACTTTTGTTCACTTCTCATTAGTGGGCCAATAAGGTGATAAGGAAACTGGAGTCAGTCTCACCTTCAGCTGCCTTTTTCTCGAGTTGAGCAGTGTAATATCCATTATGATCAAGCCTAGCGATAATATTCAACATCTGATGTTCACAGTCTATTGTAGAGTAGTGGCTCAGCTTCTCCAGCAAATCCATCAGGTGTAGAGAAAAATTGCTGTCGAAGTTCTGAATGGTGCGCTCAAAATCCTCGCCACTGATCATTTTGTCCACATGTTCAGAGACAATCTACAAACAAACATGAAAACAACAATAAGATAATGGTTGCGATTATGATGGCAAAGAGAGCTGTAAATTGCAGAAGAAGTGACGAAGAAGGTAAGTTTTTTTTCCTTTTTGCACTCGCCGGGAAAGTTGGTGTTTTGCATAACAGCGTTTCACATTATAGCTTAACGGAACTGGGCTGAAAAAGGTAGGCTCGATTCCGCCGCTCTCTCGAGTCCGGTCTACCGGCTCCTTTCCCGATCAGCGGCTGGTAATCGAGCCTACGAAAAAGGCCGTTGTGGAATATTGCAGTTGGCGGAATAACGGCCCAAAAATGGTGTCTTCCGTCAATGTCCCGCTCGTGAAAATTACATAAACAGAAGAGAAAGAAAAGTACTGTGTAACGTTACCGCAGTTGAGAGCTAGTGAGTACCTTAGCAGTTGTTCTCCTCTTCTCTTGTTCTCTGGGTGGCGGGCCTTTCTTGTTCATTGGACTCACTCCTGGAGCATCACTCTCTTGTGACTCTACGGTTGCGCTCTGGGTAAACCGCTGACAAAAAACAATACAAAGTCACTAAGCTTTTTGTACGACCTGGTCACATGGTACAAAATCAGCCACGCTAGCACGCAAGTTACACAGTGGATCATCCACAACAAAGCAACTCGCATCAGTCAAGCTTGATTTTCCTGTGTTTTGCGAAACGTGGGCCCATTTAAAAACGTCAGGAGCCAAACAAATTGGGCACCGTAATGATTTCATTTAGCGCTCGGAGCGTAGTCTGCGGTGCAGCCGGACGTGTCACAAAATCCTCTATACAAGCGGTGTCGACTGTCTGTGGCGCAGGCTACCGGAGCTCTAATTTACTTTTGATAACTCAAGAGAGGGCGCTTATTAGAGACGGGGCGCCTGCACCAGATGATTTTGATCCACGTTTTACAAAAAAAGTTTGATGTGAACGAAGAAAATTCAACTTGTCGCCATGGTTACCCAGGCTGGCCCACAAAACAGAGAGTTTGAAGTCTTCTTGGTAATAAGAAAAAAGCACAAATGACATCAATCTTACCTGCATACAATTCGTGAAGGTCACACACACCAACATCAACTTGCTCACAACCTGAGATCAAACAATAAAGCACCTTAGTGTGAAGATAGCTGAACCGTAATAACACAGCTGAACGTTTTCCTCGAGGTATATTGCCTCTCTGAATACCATCTCTCCTTTTAATGTTCACTTTGTTATTTACAAGTAGTATATTCAACAAGTACAACAAAGGCATTTGCATCGAAAAGTTCGAAGTTCGAAAAAGCTGCTCTCCTTTCTCTGCTTCCAACTTTTACCTTTTTTTTCTTCTCAGTAACTGTTTATCGTTCTTATTGTCCAAAAACCAGAAATAGAAAATTCATTACTACCCTTACCTTAAGCAGTTCTAGGTTTGTAAGCATACAGTCCTTCAGGCAACGGTCCAGAAAATCGTTGTGGTTCTCCAGAACACCATCAATATTTGTTACCTGTGTATAAAGAACATAACACGACTAAATGAATAACTGAAATGTTAAAAACTATTACCACAATTTATCTCATCTAAGGAGAAGCAAAGATGACTTTACGCAACTTCAATTTAAAGTCGTTTTTTAGAGAACTTTCTAAATCACTTGTGAAAGTAATTTTCTAGATTTACTTTGCTTTTGCCTTTGCTGAACTCTACAACTAGTTCAACTAAACTGTATAATGGGAACTAACCAAGTAGAGCATCTTCTTTTTGATACCATTTTACTAGCCCAGCCGAGCCCAGCCCAGCCCAGCCCAGTTCAGCCTAGTCCAGCCCAGTCCGGCCGAGTTAAAATGTCTAAAATTAAGGAACGCAAGAAGACTCATTTTGAAACAGAGGCAAACGGTCTCTCGGAAACTACCTAACTAAACTTGAAAGTTTCAAATGTAAGTAGCAATCGGTATCTCAGGACTTGGTGCTGCAATATAGCCATACGCAGGCTTTATGTTATAATTTGTATCCGTGTCACCTTGAGTATCCTTTGAACTCAAATGTAGCTTTACTGGATAATTAGTCACGTGTCCCATACCGTTTTGAGGCTTTTCTCCATGATATGCCAGCTGGGTTCCAGGACCTCAAACATCATGTAGTGCTCGTAGGTTTGTACAAAGTGTAGCATCCGCTGACGTAAAGCAAACGCAGCCGCATACCTGACGTCATCACACGAATTTGTATTAGAGAGCGTTATGCTAAATATAACGCTAAGTTAACAGTTAAGTATCCGATTAAGTGAAGCTGGATAACCTATTATTCAACATTTTTCTTAGATATAATTCATTTGATACAAAAGACCAAACATTTGGAAGATTCGGGATTGGGTTTTTAAAGAATTTGGTTTTTCACTGGGACTAAATAATTCCTTTGCAAAATAATAACACTCACTTCTACGACGATGGTTGACATTAAGTTTTCACGTTAACCTCTGCTTTCTGCGATATTTCAACATAGCTTTATGGTACAAACGTAAGGATAGAGTTTGAAATTCATATAGCGCGTCTTACCATGGTGAAGAGTTCAACGTAAACTGCTTTGCTCGCTTGTTGCTAACCCAAACACTAAATAATAATCAAAGACAGCAGGCAATAAATCTGACAATCTATAAATTTACACAACATCATTACTGAATGATTGTTAATGATCACCTCACTCAACCCTCTTTGCTCTTCCACAGTCAGCGAAGAACAACACAGAACAGGTTTGAAGAAAATTATAATAACATCAATTGAAAGACTAATACAGTTTATTTCTTACTTGCATAGTTGCCTTTCCACGTGTCTGGCATAAAACAAATGTCTAAACAGCATCTGGTACTTCGTCAAGGCCTTTAAAAACCAGATTTAAGTAATACAGTTCGATTATTATCTTTACACCTGCATCACCCCAACCAGGTATATGAAAGGGATGACAAAAGGGAACTGGGGGTCTTAATATTGGGGTAACACTGCTATGAACTAGCATTCCATCCAGGGCGGAGTAGAAATACCGTTAGCCACTTGATACTACAGTAACTGGAAAAAGCTCCAGACGGTAGTATGGGACACTTGGCTCGATACATTCCTAACAAGAGTAAATTTACTAAGAGCAAGCATCAGATCGTAATTCTTGTCAATCTTCCACAGTCTTAACCATTCTCGTCTCAATATGGCTTATAACTATTTGCTGTTTTTCTTTTTTTGTTGCTTCTATCGATGGGGAATTTATAATTTGAGGTGTCGTTTCATCTGAATGTTGAAATAGCATGCCCCGCCTTCTGACCACCTTTTTATCACAGCAACCTGCTTTGGAACGAAGCTAAGTCAATTATTTTCTTATTTAAGCAGAAGCCCTTAACATAGCCTCCTCAGTGTTCAGTAGGTATTAAAAAGACTGCATTCAAGCCAAGTAGCCGATCAGGCCGGCGCTTATCTCCGGTTTCCGTAGCAGGAAGGGACCAGGAGAATTTCTACTCTCCCGTGGATGGTATGCTAGTCCATCACAGGGTTACCCCCTAGCATTCAATCCGCCGGTACACATTTAAAATATACACTTCGGAAGAGGGAGGTACTGTGGGAGTCACGTGTCTCACGCAAGAATTATTAACATAGTATTACCTAGGTGGTCATATTAGAAGGATTCTTAAATAAGGAAATAACTGTTTACTTTAACCTGGCCTAACGAAAGTGGCGGCAATAACCAGGTAGTCAAAAGACGGAGTTCTACTAAATGACCAGATCAATTTTTGTGGTCTGTTGGTGGTTGGATCAGCTGGGTTCCATTGTATGTACATCGAAAAATAAGCCCTGATATATCATGACAATGCTCTCTAAAGGCATATTTGTGAAGATACTTGCAAGTTGCAGTTTTCAAGACTAAGAAAGTCAGATGCGTACCTTTTTACTTAAAATTAATGACACGGGCCATTTCACCACGTAATCGAATGAGAATGCTTCAAGTCCTACAAAAGAACAAAACACAGTTGGACCTCTATACAACAGCCCCTATCAGTACCACCCCTTGGGACAAAATAAAAGCGACGGAGGTGGACGGTTTAAGGATGTTTTATGAAGACAAGGATTGGTGCGTGCGTGCATGTTACATTTTAACTGATTATTTTTGTTACAGTGCGACTACCCTAGCCAAGACAAAATTTCCTACAAATTTACCGAATAAAAAACGTGGAGGTTGACAATAGTTTTCGAACAAATTATCCAAAATGACCACAAATCTGGTTGCCTTTGTAATGTGCAGCTTGATCATATAGATAATTTGTTAGAAAACTATCGTATAAGCTAAAAAAATACCAACCTGAAATCTGAAGCTCTGTTGGATCTTGATTATAAGCTGTTGCACCTGAAAGAACACAGCGGTAAAATTAAAACAATCTATTGAACCAAAACGAGCTGCACATTCCTTCTACAGTCAATGTTTGGCAAATTAACCACAAAGACCTGGGTAGACTTCTAGAAAATAAAGAAACAATTTAAAATATTCAACACCTACATGTACTTTAAATTGCGGCTTGATCACTTTCCTGTTCACAGTAAGCAAATTTTCTAGCGATACTGTTAACGGTCAGAGTGACGGCGGATATTAATATTAATTTATGTGCAATGGTGGAAGAACAAATCTATCAGTAAAGATGGAATTAAGTTACATTAATGAGTTATTACTCTACCTGGAAGCCCTGTTCTTTCAAGAGGGGGCAATACCGCGAGAACTTTTTTCATAGCTATTGAAGGCATGGCTGTTAGATAGCATAGTTACATGGAAGAAAGGAATTTAATTTGTAATGTTGTTAAATGTATAAGACAAAATAGCAAGAGTTAGCAAATTATATTAGCAAGAAGAAAGCATTCNTACTATACAAAAACAACTAAAAACACTTAAGTATCAAAAGGATGAAACAACTCTACTAATACTCTTATTAAATGGTCACATTTCTTTATAGGCAGTTCAGTGAAGCCAACTTTTGATGCAATATTACACTCCTCTTTTGAGCCACTCTTGTTTTGCACAGTTTCTTTCTTTTGTTTAATTTATCTTTTTAATGCATTAACATTTCATTAAATAGTAAATAATAAATAGTAAATATAAATTTCAGCCTCCCCAATTAATCCAAACTAAGTCGCACACAAGCTAGAATAGTTAATCTACACGGTGTATAGTTGACAAATGAAAGAGAGCTAAGAGTTTAAGGGGGAAGATTTTGCTGTCGAAGGAGTTAAAAAATTTGGGTTGCTGGAAAAAACAAAGAGAAAATTTCATATCGTGAAGCACAGAGTTATGCTAGATTGGAAGAACCATGTTTAGCTGCTTTCCCTCAGGAGCCTCAGGAGGGGAGGCATGGAAACAGAGAGCATGGAGAAAGAAAATGTATTCATGAGTGAATCAATTACTGTTTCATGGTTCAACTTCTGCACACAGAAAACAGACAATCCCAAAAGAAGGACACCTCTTGGAAGTGTCACTTTGCCATGATCACCACCACATACAAACACTTCACTTCTAAGACACCTCCCATAATTGTGCTAACAATGAATTCTGTAGAACATTCTGTCAATTGTCCCAAACTTACCACACTGCCGAATAACATTCAAGTACTTTCCTGTGCTGAGAATCTTGTGTGCAACCTAGCAAATTGATCAACCGGAGAAACTGAGAAATTGCCGTGAAAGTGTAGATCATACTCAGTCATCCTGAAGATATCTTACAACAATAACAAATTGAGATTATATTGTTACCTTCTCTAAAAACACAGGAATGTTCTCTCTGACAACTGTATATCGTTGTTCCCAGTAGGTACGAAAAGTTAAAGAAAACATCAGCAACAAGCATTGCAAAATAAACTGTTCATTCAGTTCTTACTAATTGCTATGCATTTTAACATAACTTATTCTTTGAAATTGGCTCTGTATACATGTGCAAAAAAATATAAATATGC